GCCTCAATGGCGTTGCCCATGCTGTCCCAGGCGCCGGAATGACACATATACAAAGAGGAGTCATGTATCTATCTCTATGGGTGCCTTCTCATGCTAACCTCCGTCTTGTCTTGACTGCAGCTCTTAACTTCTGTTTCAACTCTACTTTTCTGTTTCTCTGGTCGTTGTTTTCTACCACTCAATCTTATAGCCATGTCTTGGACAACTAAAGTGTTAAAGCTAATCGTGCTGGCTGGAGTGTCTGTGTTGATAGTGATGTACCTGCGGCAGTGGATGGCTAGCAAACAGTATGTCTTCACGAAGGAAGATGTTGCTATACTGGCCAAGCGATACGCAGGTAAATTGGTAGTTGGCTAGTCAGAGGCGCTTCATTACGGAAACCCTTTAATTACACGGAAGCAAACAGAACTAACGATAGTTTCTATTGGACAAGTTCAGGTAGTTCTCTCCGTTTCGTTTTCTTCCCTTTATTAAACGGCGTAATGAATATGCTCCTGATAATCATTAAATTGATATTTGTGATGGTTAGCTTAACATCATGAAAAAGACTAGTGAAATTAAGTGAAAAAGCCGTCGAAGCCGGTGTTTGGAGGATATATTGGCACAGGTGTTGTTAGGCCCAAGACGAAGTCGAGTTTGAGTAATTTATTCATACTATTTCATCCTAACACAAAATATAGTTCCGACACAAATCTAGGGTTGCTGCCCGAACCGTCTTGTCGTTCTGTATCAATGGACGCGACCCAGTCGTTCTGTATCTATGGACGCGACCCAGTCGTTCTGTATCAATGGACGCGACCCAGTCGTTCTGTATCTATGGACGCGACCCAGTCGTTCTGTATCTATGGACGCGACCCAGTCGTTCTGTATCTATGGACGCGACCCAGTCGTTCTGTATCTATGGACGCGACCCAGTCGTTCTGTATCTATGGACGCGACCCAGTCGTTCTGTATCTATGGACGCGACCCAGTCGTTCTGTATCTATGGACGCGACCCAGTCGTTCTGTATCTATGGACGCGACCCAGTCGTTCTGTATCTATGGACGCGACCCAGTCGTTCTGTATCTATGGACGCGACCCAGTCGTTCTGTATCAATGGACGCGACCCAGTCGTTCTGTATCTATGGACGCGACCCAGTCGTTCTGTATCTATGGACGCGACCCAGTCGTTCTGTATCTATGGACGCGACCCAGTCGTTCTGTATCTATGGACGCGACCCAGTCGTTCATTCTAAATGTTCCATTGCCATACTGGCTGGCAACGTTCTTATCCCTTGCTTGCTAGCTAGCCAACGACGGTTAACTTAGTCACATCAAAGTGCAGCCAGAATAACAGTAAAGTAACTGCATTTGCATTTGTTTAAGCTGTTTTCTAGTTACATTTATTTGGATACATCCATAACAATGAGCTAATGAGGCGCTATTTCGCCTGGCATAGAAAATGTGCTCTCTCGTCAGGACACTGATGTTCAGAGGAGCTAGCCAACAACACAGCTAACACAATCACTTTAAACTGAAGCTGGAAAGACTGCAAACTAGCTGCACTTTGTTTCATTTGACCTTTTTTCAATTTACATTTCTTTGTATATATCCATACAAATGATGCCAGCTGATTCATGATTTCGACTGTCTGAGAAACGCTGCCTGTCTGTCTGCCTGTCTGTCTGTCTCGTCCCGACTCCCAACACATTCATTACTATGGGACAGCTGGAGATCGAATTTGAATATTGAAACAATGTTGCAAATGTCAGAGAGACAGACAGCAAGGTTTATACAAATCTCCGTGGTTTAAATCTAAATGTTAGTCTAAAAGAAATGTGAGATAATGTCTAGATGTTGTTTATAGTGCAGATTAAGTTTATAAATTGCCTGGCTGGGCTGATGTGACAGTGGATTGCGCAGTCAGATGGAACTGAGTAAATAAGCATTTTAACATAATAGATTTAGCCAGTGGTAACTTGTGGAATAGACACCAGCTGGAATGTGGTTTTAACCAATCAGGATTAGACCCACCCCTTGGCCATATACCACACCTCCTCGTGCTTTATTGCTTAAATAACCCACAAGTTAACTAGCTAGCTTAGTTGATTGGCTGATCATCAACTTGCTGTAGGATTAGACCCAAGCATGTAGCTAGCTAGCTGTAATTGTATTATGCCAGCCTTCCAGATCTAGTTACAGCTAAGTGATCCTACTAGCCAAATGGTTTTGACTAGAACGAGGTGAATTAGTAGTTGAGAGAGGTGAGTGAGAGCTCTTGCAAGCCAACATCAGCATGCTATCTTGTTAAAAAGGGGAGGGTTCATCTTTGATAACAGTGTGAGGTCAGGGACATGCTAGACATGAGATGTAGATTACTGCTGTTAATAAGGAACTTCTACCGTCCTATAGTTGTCTGGTAGCACTGATTTATCACTGATGTTGTCTCCTCCAGGCCAGGACCACGACCAGGCGTTCGCCAAGGTGGTGGTGGAGCTGCGGAGGAAGTACCCTGGTCACATCCTACCGGACGAGGACCTGCAGTGGGTGTTCGTTAACGCGGGTGGCTGGATGGGCTCCATGTGTCTGCTCCATGCCTCCCTCACTGAGTACGTCCTGCTGTTCGGCACTGCCGTGGACACTGGAGGACACTCAGGTTAGGATCTCTCTGGGTTCACACACTGCCGTGGACACTGGAGGACACTCAGGTTAGGATCTCTCTGGGTTCACACACTGCCGTGGACACTGGAGGACACTCAGGTTAGGATCTCTCTGGGTTCACACACTGCCGTGGACACTGGAGTACACTCAGGTTAGGATCTCTCTGGGTTCACACACTGCCGTGGACACTGGAGGACACTCAGGTTAGGATCTCTCTGGGTTCACACACTGCGTGGACACTGGAGGACACTCAGGTTAGGATCCTCTGGGTTCACACACTGCCGTGGACACTGGAGGACACTCAGGTTAGGATCTCTCTGGGTTCACACACTGCTGTGGACACTGGAGGACACTCAGGTTAGGATCTCTCTGGGTTCACACACTGCCCCTATGTCATACACTGGATAGGTCCAGTGTAATGTGTTGTTTTACAGGGTCAGCCATAGTACATTTACATTACATTTTAGTCATTTAGCAGACGCTCTTATCCAGAGCGACTTACAGTTAGTGAATACATATTTTTTTATACTGGCCCCCCGTGGGAATCGAACCCACAACCCTGGCGTTGCAAACGGCATGCTCTATCAACTGAGCTACATCCCTGCCGGCCATTCCCTCCCCTACCCTGGACAACGCTGGGCCAATTGTGCGCCGCCGTTTTACAGGGTCAGCCATAGTAGTATGATAGGTGCAGTGTAATGTGTTGTTTTACAGGGTCAGCCATAGTAGTATGATAGGTGCAGTGTAATGTGTTGTTCTACAGGGTCAGCCATAGTAGTATGATAGGTGCAGTGTAATGTGTTGTTTTACAGGGTCAGCCATAGTAGTATGATAGGTGCAGTGTAATGTGTTGTTCTACAGGGTCAGCCATAGTAGTATGATAGGTCCAGTGTAATGTGTTGTTTTACAGGGTCAGCCATAGTAGTATGATAGGTGCAGTGTAATGTGTTTGTTTTACAGGGTCAGCCATAGTAGTATGATAGGTGCAGTGTAATGTGTTGTTCTACAGGGTCAGCCATAGTAGTATGATAGGTCCAGTGTAATGTGTTGTTTTACAGGGTCAGCCATAGTAGTATGATAGGTGCAGTGTAATGTGTTGTTTTACAGGGTCAGCCATAGTAGTATGATAGGTCCAGTGTAATGTGTTGTTCTACAGGGTCAGCCATAGTAGTATGATAGGTCCAGTGTAATGTGTTGTTTTACAGGGTCAGCCATAGTGGTATGATAGGTGCAGTGTAATGTGTTGTTTTACAGGGTCAGCCATAGTAGTATGATAGGTGCAGTGTAATGTGTTGTTCTACAGGGTCAGCCATAGTAGTATGATAGGTGCAGTGTAATGTGTTGTTCTACAGGGTCAGCCATAGTAGTATGATAGGTCCAGTGTAATGTGTTGTTTTACAGGGTCAGCCATAGTAGTATGATAGGTCCAGTGTAATGTGTTGTTTTACAGGGTCAGCCATAGTAGTATGATAGGTGCAGTGTAATGTGTTGTTCTACAGGGTCAGCCATAGTAGTATGATAGGTGCAGTGTAATGTGTTCTACAGGGTCAGCCATAGTAGTATGATAGGTCCAGTGTAATGTCTTGTTTTACAGGGTCAGCCATAGTAGTATGATAGGTGCAGTGTAATGTGTTGTTCTACAGGGTCAGCCATAGTAGTATGATAGGTCCAGTGTAATGTGTTGTTTTACAGGGTCAGCCATAGTAGTATGATAGGTGCAGTGTAATGTGTTTGTTCTACAGGGTCAGCCATAGTAGTATGATAGGTGCCAGTGTATGTGTTGTTTAACAGGGTCAGCCATAGTAGTATGATAGGTCCAGTGTAATGTTTTGTTTACAGGGTCAGCCATAGGTAGTATGATAGGTGCAGTGTAATGTGTTGGTTTTTACAGGGTCAGCCATAGTAGTATGATAGGTGCAGTGTAATGTGTTGTTCTACAGGGTCAGCCATAGTAGTATGATAGGTCCAGTGTAAATGTGTTGTTTTACAGGGTCAGCCATAGTAGTATGATAGGGTGCAGTGTAATGTGTTGTTTCTACAGGGTCAGCCATAGTAGTATGATAGGTCGCAGTGTAATGTGTTGTTTTACAGGGTCAGCCATAGTAGTATGATCGGTGCAGTGTAATGTGTTGTTCTACAGGGTCAGCCATAGTAGTATGATAGGTGCCAGTGTAATGTGTTCTTCTACAGGTCAGGCCATAGTAGTATGATAGGTCAGTGTAATGGTTGTTTACAGGGTCAGCCATAGTAGTATGAATAGGTGCAGTGTAATGTGTTGTTCTACAGGGTCAGCCATAGTAGTATGATAGGTGTAGTGTAATGTGTTGTTTTACAGGGTCAGCCATAGTAGTATGATAGGTGCAGTGTAAATGTGTGTTTTACAGGGTCAGCCATAGTAGTATGATAGGTCCAGTGTAATGTGTTGTTTTTACAGGGTCAGCCATAGTAGTATGATAGGTGCAGTGTAATGTGTTGTTCTACAGGGTCAGCCATAGTAGTATGATAGGTGCAGTGTAATTTTGTTCTACAGGGTCAGCCATAGTAGTATGATAGGTCCAGGTAATGTCTTGTTTTACAGGGTCAGCCATAGTAGTATGATAGGTGCAGTGTAATGTGTTGTTTCTACAGGGTCAGCCATAGTAGTATGATAGGTCCAGTGTAATGTGTTGTTTTACAGGGTCAGCCATAGTAGTATGATAGGTGCAGTGTAATGTGTTGTTCTACAGGGTCAGCCATAGTAGTATGATAGGTGCAGTGTAATGTGTTCTACAGGGTCAGCCATAGTAGTATGATAGGTCCAGTGTAATGTCTTGTTTTACAGGGTCAGCCATAGTAGTATGATAGGTCCAGTGTAATGTGTTGTTTTACAGGGTCAGCCATAGTAGTATGATAGGTGCAGTGTAATGTGTTGTTTTACAGGGTCAGCCATAGTAGTATGGCGCCCGTGGAATAAATGAGGGTTAAGTGCCTTGCTCAAGGGCAAATCGACAGATATTTCACCTGGTCGGCTAGGGTAATCGAATCAGTGACCTTTAGGTTACTGGCCCAACTCTCTAACCACTAGGCTACCTGCTGGTTACTGGCCCAACGCTCTAACCACTAGGCTACCTGCTGGTTACTGGCCCAACTCTCTAACCACTAGACTACCTGCTGGTTACTGGCCCAACTCTCTAACCACTAGGCTACCTGCTGGTTACTGGCCCAACACTCTAACCACTAGGTTACCTGCTGGTTACTGGCCCAACACTCTAACCACTAGACTACCTGCTGGTTACTGGCCCAACTCTCTAACCACTAGGCTACCTGCTGGTTACTGGCCCAACGCTCTAACCACTAGGCTACCTGCTGGTTACTGGCCCAACTCTCTAACCACTAGGTTACCTGCTGGTTACTGGCCCAACACTCTAACCACTAGGCTACCTGCTGGTTACTGGCCCAACACTCTAACCACTAGGCTACCTGCTGGTTACTGGCCCAACTCTCTAACCACTAGGCTACCTGCTGGTTACTGGCCCAACTCTCTAACCACTAGGCTACCTGCTGGTTACTGGCCCAACGCTCTAACCACTAGACTACCTGCTGGTTACTGGCCCAACGCTCTAACCACTAGACTACCTGCTGGTTACTGGCCCAACTCTCTAACCACTAGGCTACCTGCTGGTTACTGGCCCAACTCTCTAACCACTAGGCTACCTGCTGGTTACTGGCCCAACTCTCTAACCACTAGACTACCTGCTGGTTACTGGCCCAACACTCTAACCACTAGGCTACCTGCTGGTTACTGGCCCAACGCTCTAACCACTAGGCTACCTGCTGGTTACTGGCCCAACTCTCTAACCACTAGGCTACCTGCTGGTTACTGGCCCAACTCTTGAACCTCTAGGCTACCTGCTGGTTACTGGCCCAACTCTCTAACCACTAGGCTACCTGCTGGTTACTGGCCCAACTCTCTAACCACTAGACTACCTGCTGGTTACTGGCCCAACTCTCTAACCACTAGGCTACCTGCTGGTTACTGGCCCAACTCTCTAACCACTAGGCTACCTGCTGGTTACTGGCCCAACTCTCTAACCACTAGGCTACCTGCTGGTTACTGGCCCAACACTCTAACCACTAGACTACCTGCTGGTTACTGGCCCAACTCTCTAACCACTAGGCTACCTGCTGGTTACTGGCCCAACTCTCTAACCACTAGGCTACCTGCTGGTTACTGGCCCAACCTCTAACACTACTACCTGCGGTTACTGGCCCAACTCTCTAACCACTAGGCTACCTGCTGGTTACTGGCCCAACTCTCTAACCACTAGGCTACCTGCTGGTTACTGGCCCAACACTCTAACCACTAGGCTACCTGCTGGTTACTGGCCCAACTCTCTAACCACTAGGCTACCTGCTGGTTACTGGCCCAACACTCTAACCACTAGGCTACCTGCTGGTTACTGGCCCAACTCTCTAACCACTAGGCTACCTGCCTGGTTACTGGCCCAACTCTCTAACCACCAGGCTACCTGCTGGTTACTGGCCCAAACTCTTGAACCTCTAGGCTACCTGCTGGTTACTGGCCCAACTCTCTAACCACTAGGCTACCTGCTGGTTACTGGCCCAACTCTCTAACCACTAGGCTACCTGCTGGTTACTGGCCCAACTCTCTAACCACTAGGCTTCCTGCTGGTTACTGGCCCAACTCTCTAACCACTAGGCTACCTGCTGGTTACTGGCCCAACTCTCTAAACCACTAGGCTACCTGCTGGTTACTGGCCCAACTCTCTAACCACTAGGCTTCCTGCTGGTTACTGGCCCAACTCTCTAACCACTAGGCTACCTGCTGGTTACTGGCCCAACTCTCTAAACCACTAGGCTACCTGCTGGTTACTGGCCCAAACTCTAGAACCTCTAGGCTACCTGCTGGTTACTGGCCCAACTCTCTAACCACTAGGCTACCTGCGGTTACGGCCCAACTCTCTAACCACTAGGCTACCTGATGGTTACTGGCCCAACTCTCTAACCACTAGACTACCTGCTGTGGTTACTGGCCCAACTACTCTAACACCTGACTACCTGCCGGTTACTGCCCAACTCTCAACCACTAGGTTACCTGCTGGTTACTGGCCCAACTCTCTAACCACTAGGCTACCTGATGGTTACTGGCCCAACTCTCTAACCACTAGGCTACCTGATGGTTACTGGCCCAACTCTCTAACCACTAGACTACCTGCTGGTTACTGGCCCAACTCTCTAACCACTAGACTACCTGCTGGTTACTGGCCCAACTCTCTAACCACTAGGTTACCTGCTGGTTACTGGCCCAACTCTCTAACCACTAGGCTACCTGCTGGTTACTGGACCAACTCTCTAACCACTAGGTTACCTGCTGGTTACTGGCCCAACTCTCTAACCACTAGACTACCTGCTGGTTACTGGCCCAACTCTCTAACCTCTAGGCTACCTGCCGGTTACTGGCCCAACTCTCTAACCACTAGGCTACCTGATGGTTACTGGCCCAACTCTCTAACCACTAGGTTACCTGCTGGTTACTGGCCCAACTCTCTAACCACTAGGCTACCTGCTGGTTACTGGCCCAACTCTCTAACCACTAGACTACCTGCTGGTTACTGGCCCAACTCTCTAACCACCAGGCTACCTGCTGGTTACTGGCCCAACTCTCTAACCACTAGGCTACCTGCTGGTTACTGGCCCAACCCTCTAACCACTAGGCTACCTGCTGGTTACTGGCCCAACTCTCTAACCACTAGACTACCTGCTGGTTACTGGCCCAACTCTCTAACCACTAGGCTACCTGCCGCCCTATAAAGTGAATAGGGTACCATTTGGGTCACATCTCAAAAGTCTAATTCTTAAGGTGTTCTGTCCTCTGTCGTATCCCTCCCTGCCAGAGGGAGGAGAACACAAGGAATGAGGAAACCCTTTTTATATTCACCCACAGTGTGCAGTAGCATCACAGTAACCTGTTGTTCTTCTGTTCTGTTATTAACTTGTTGAACTTCTCTTAAGGTCGTTACTGGGCTGAAATATCAGACACCATCATCTCTGGGACCTTCAGGCAGTGGAAGGAGGGATCAACTAAGAGTGAAATGTACTATCCAGGTAAGACCACAGAGATCCTATTACATTCTATGTGTTAGACACTACAGCTGTTCTACCCAGGTAAAACACGGGTCAATGAGGTTAGGCAGGTAGCCTAGCGGTAGCCTAGCGGTTAGAGGGTTGGGCCAGTAACCAGCAGGTAGCCTAGCGGTTAGAGGGTTGGGCCAGTAACCAGCAGGTAGCCTAGCGGTAGCCTAGCGGTAGCCTAGCGGTTAGAGAGTTGGGCCAGTAACCAGCAGGTAGCCTAGCGGTAGCCTAGCGGTAGCCTAGCGGTTAGAGGGTTGGGCCAGTAACCAGCAGGTAGCCTAGCGGTTAGAGGGTTGGGCCAGTAACCAGCAGGTAGCCTAGCGGTAGCCTAGCGGTAGCCTAGCGGTTAGAGAGTTGGGCCAGTAACCAGCAGGTAGCCTAGCGGTAGCCTAGCGGTTAGAGAGTTGGGCCAGTAACCAGCAGGTAGCCTAGCGGTAGCCTAGCGGTAGCCTAGCGGTTAGAGAGTTGGGCCAGTAACCAGCAGGTAGCCTAGCGGTTAAGAGCGTTCGGCCATTAACTAAAGGTCTCCGAGACGACTAGGTGAAAAATCTGTCTGTGCCCTTGAGCAGGGCCCTTAACCCTAATTGCTCCTGTAAGTGGCTCTGGATAAGAGTGTCTGCTAAATGACTTGCATGTCAATGGAAACTAGCCTACCAACTAGTAAGGTGGAGTGGGCCTACGTTGTAGTGTCTTTTGTATCAGCTGTGTGTGTTTGTGTTAACAGGTGACACGATAGTCCACACGGTAGGCGAGGCAACGTCGGTCCAATGGAGTGCTGGGACGTGGATGGTGGAGTATGGCAGAGGCTTCATCCCCTCCACCCTGGGGTTCGCCCTGGCAGACACTCTGTTCAGCACACAGGACTTCCTTACTATGTTCTATACAGTACGGGTCTACGCCAAGGGAATGCTGCTAGAGGCCAATACACTACTCACCGAGGCTGGGGTCTTCTGAGCAACCTGACCCCTAACCCTCACCGAGGCTGACGTCTTCTGAGCAACCTGACCCCTAACCCTCACCGAGGCTGGGGTCTTCTGAGCAACCTGACCCCTAACCCTCACCGAGGCTGGGGTCTTCTGAGCAACCTGACCCCTAACCCTCACCGAGGCTGACGTCTTCTGAGCAACCTGACCCCTAACCCTCACCGAGGCTGACGTCTTCTGAGCAACCTGACCCCTAACCCTCACCGAGGCTGACGTCTTCTGAGCAACCTGACCCCTAACCCTGACCGAGGCTGACGTCTTCTGAGCAACCTGACCCCTAACCCTCACCGAGGCTGACGTCTTCTGAGCAACCTGACCCCTAACCCTCACCGAGGCTGACGTCTTCTGTGGTACCTGACCTCTAAACCTTGAACCTCTTAGAGTTAGATATACGTGTTGATTGCATCCCATAAACGAATAGCTACTGTTCCTTGCTCTGTTAGCTAGCAGGCTAACAGGCTAGATAGCTGACTAACAGCTACTGTTCCTTGCTCTGTTAGCTAGCAGGCTAACAGGCTAGATAGCTGACTAACAGCTACTGTTCCTTGCTCTGTTAGCTAGCAGGCTAACAGGCTAGATAGCTGACTAACAGCTACTGTTCCTTGCTCTGTTAGCTAGCAGGCTAACAGGCTAGATAGCTGACTAACAGCTACTGTTCCTTGCTCTGTTAGCTAGCAGGCTAACAGGCTAGATAGCTGCTGTCAACATAAAGCCATGTCCAACCTTCTCTAAACACATCAGTGGCTATACATGAATGGCAAGTAGCAGTTGTATGTATTTGTCAACATTTTAAGGGATGTGTAGATGGACAACCTACTGCAATCATTCTGGTCGAACACATTAAAATAATGTTTTGGGGCATTGTGTGTGTGTGTGTGTGTGTGTGAGAGATGAGGACCCCTTTGGCCTTTACAGTCTTTTAGAGTATTAACAATTACTGCTGGTTGTCGTTTCAAGAGATAGGAAGCCCACCTGCCTGCTCCACCACTGTGACACCATATGTTCTGAAACAGTAAAGCTTGACTTAGTACTGTCAAAGCTGCAAGCCATAGGGATAGCTATACTGCATATTGACGTTTTCCTTGACAATGTCGACTGGAAATCGAGAGGCATAATAGCTGATAAGTGTTTAATTAGTTAATTGATTTGTCATGCCCATACCATAGCAATCAGTCTGCACAATTAACAAATACATGTATTATTGACCTGTGATAGACATTGTCCTACACACTTATTATTGTCCTTAGAATCACTTGTGTTCAAGAAACATGTTACAATTTACAGTGTTTAACTACGTTTCCTTGATAATGGTTTCCAACAAACGGTTGGCAGAACTTCACTGAAGAGCAATACTCTTTTTTGTATTATAATTCTATTTGCAGAAAACCTTTATTGAACATGACTAGTTTCTGGCTCTGTAAATTTGACTGAACACAGTTTAGCAACAGTGGATAAGTCCGCTCTCCTCTTCCTCATCAGTACAGTTAGAAACATCAGCAGTAGTATTGGGGACAGTGATATTCCTCTTGGGTTTCTCTCAGCTATGGAGACGGGTCATCAACCGGAACCACATTTGAAAAAGGAGCACAGATTATGTAATGGTTATTATGTGTGGAAACCTAGAACAGACTATCAATATACAACTCATGGCAATTTTCACAATTCAAATACCCTCCATTTTTATTTTTCACGATAACTACACTCCAACCAATAATTCACTAAATGTACCCAAGTACGGTCTTATTGAGTAGTTATATAATAATAATATGCCATTTAGCAGACTCTTTTATCCAAAGCGACTTACAGTCATGTGTGCATACATTAGTTATAGCACAGGTAGGGGTGACGATTAACGTCCGTTAGACATTTACATTTACGTCATTTAGCCGACGCTCTTATCCAGAGCCACTTACAAATTGGTGCATTCACCTTATGATAGCCAGTGGGACAACCACTTTACAATGTATTTTTTTTTTTTGGGGGTTGGGTAAGGGGGGGGGGGGGGGGGGGGTAGAATGATTACTTTATCCTATCCCAGGTATTCCTTAAAGAGGTGGGGTTTCAAATGTCTCCGGAAGGTGGTGAGTGACTCCGCTGTCCTGGCGTCGTGAGGGAGCTTGTTCCACCATTGGGGTGCCAGAGCAGCGAACAGTTTTAACTGTGCTTCCGCAGAGGTAGGGGGGCCAGCAGGCCAGAGGTGGATGAACGCAATGTCGTTTGGGTGTAGGGACTGATCAGAGCCTGAAGGTACGGAGGTGCCGTTCCCCTCACAGCTCCATAGGCAAGCACCATGGTCTTGTAGCAGATGCGAGCTTCAACTGGAAGCCAGTGGAGTGTGCGGAGGAGCGGGGTGACGTGAGAGAACTTGGGAAGGTTGAACACCAGACGGGCTGCGGCATTCTGGATGAGTTGTAGGGGTTTAATGGCACAGGCAGGGAGCCCAGCCAACAGCGAGTTGCAGTAATCCAGACGGGAGATGACAAGTGCCTGGATTAGGACCTGTGCCGCTTCCTGTGTAAGGTAGGGTCGTACTCTCCGAATGTTGTAGAGCATGAACCTGCAGGATCGGGTCACCGCCTTGATGTTTGCGGAGAATGACAGGGTGTTGTCCAGGGTCACGTCATTGGCGAGATCATGGAACGGGCAGTCCTTCCCCGGGAGGAAGAGCAGCTCCGTCTTGCCAAGGTTCAGCTTGAGGTGGTGATCCGTCATCCATACTGATATGTCTGCCAGACATGCAGAGAATTAGGACCACTGAACTGGGCATGAATCATGTTGGAATATCACTGCAGGGCAGTTAAAGGAATTACGCTGAGACTCCGATGTTTTACTTTAAAATGTATGCTGATGTAATATCATATTAATATTATATTGTCATATTATGCCAAACAAAAAACAATTAATGCAACTCTATGCACAAGGACTGAAATATAAACACATTTACTTGAAGAACGATGCAAAGTTTGGTAACACAATTACGGCTTGTTTTTTGTTTGGCATACATTCTTTAAGTGAAAAACCTGAGTCTCAAGCGTAATTCCATTACGGTGAAATTGCCCTGTAGCCTTCAGTACAGGACTGGGCGTGGTTGAGAGAGCGAACAAGGGCTACGTCCCAATTCTACACCCTTCTCTCTAAGTGTGCACATGCATACAAACACACAATACCATTCGTACTACACACACGTACACATGGATTTTGTATTGTAGATATGTGGTAGTAGAGTAGAGGCCTGAGGGAACACACTTAATATGTTGTGAAATCTGTTATTAATATATTGTAATGTTTTGTAAATGTATAACCACCCATACACAAAAAATGTATGCACGCACGACTGTAAGTCGCTTTGGATAAAAGCGTCTGCTAAATGGCATATTATTATTATTATTATTATAACTGCCTTAATTTTGCTGGACCCCCAAGGCAGCAGCTAATGGGGATCCTTAATAAATACAAACTCCTCATCCTGAATTTAGAAGCATAGGATTGGTGTAAACCAGAGTTGTCAAACTCATTCCATGGGGGGCCTAGTGTCTGTAGGTTATTGGTTTTTATTTTCAATTAAGCCCTAGACAACCAGGTGAGGGGAGTTCCTTACTAATTAGTGACCTTAATTTATCAATCAAGTACAAGGGAGGAGCAAAAACCCGCAGACACTCAGCCCTCCATGGAATGAGTTTGACACCTGTGGTGTCAGCATTTGAAGGAGGGAGAATCCATTGCTGAATCCATGAAATTATATAAGTGAGAGAATCGGGACTGAACTCCCGAGTGGCTGGTTCGAATCCAGGCTCTGTCTTAGCCGGCCGTGACCGGGAGACCAAAAAGGGAGGTCGTCCAGGGCAGGGGAGGGAATGGCCGGCAGGGGTGTAGCTCAGTTGGTAGAGCATGGCGTTTGCAACGCCAGGGTTTTGGGTTCGATTCCCATGGGGGGCCAGTATAAAAAATAAAAAAAATGATGTATGCACTCACTAACTGTAAGTGGCTCTGGATAAGAGCATCTGCTAAATGACTAAAATGTAAATGTCCCCTTTGCTGCCAGCCAACTCGGCCCTGCCCCTTGGCTGAGTGACTCGTTACGAGCTTAAAGAACAGGCCTTCGGGCAGCTGAGCGGAAATGGTGGAAAATTACACTTCCGGAGGACCTATCATCCTTCCATTGCCTTCTCTTCCTCTGTATCCGCTGCTAAAGCCACTTTATCACTCTACATTGCAAGCTTCTGCCTCTAACCCTAGGAAACTCTTTTGCACCTTCTCCTCCCTGCTTAATCCCACGGACGACTTTGTCAGCCACTTTGAAAAGAAGGTTGACGACATCCACTCTTCTTTCACTCAGCCTATTGAGTTCGCTGGTCCCACTCACACAGAATTACCCTACTCCTTGATCTCTTTCTCCCCTCTCTCCAGATGAAATCCTGCGACTAGTGAGGTCCGGCTGCCCAACAACGTGCCCGCTCAACCCCATCCCCTCCTCCCTTCTCCAGACCATCTCTGGAGACCTTCTCCCATTCCTCACATCCCTCATCAACTCATACCTGAATTCAAAATGTCCAGAGTTGCTCCCCTCCTCAAGAAACCAACACTCGGCTCCTCTGACGTCAAAAACGACAAACATGTAGCACTTCTTTATTTTCTTTCCAAAACACTTGAGCATGCCGTCTCTGACCAACTCTCTCGCTATCTCTCTCAGAACGATCTTCTTGACCCTAACCAGTCAGGCTTCAAGACAGGTCACTCAACCGAGACTGCTCTTCTATGTATCACGGAGGCGCTCAGCACTGCCAAAGCTGACTCTCTCTCCTCTGTTCTCATATTCCTAGATCTATCCGCTGCCTTCGACATCGTGAACCATCAGATCCTCCTCTTCACCCTCTCAGGGTGTCCCCCAGGGCTCCGTTCTAGGCCCTCTCCTCTTCTCTCTATACACCAAGTCACTCGGCTCCGTCATATCCTCACATGGTCTCTCAGTTGCTGTGGATGACACTCAACTACTTTTCTCCTTCCCCCCTTCTGACACCCAGGTGGTGACACGCATCTCTGCGTGCCTGGCAGATATCTCAGCTTGGATGTCGGCCCACCACCTCAAGCTCAACCTCGACAAGACAGAGCTGCTCTTCCACCCGGGGAAGGCCTGCCCGCTCAAAGACCTCTCCATCATGGTTGACAACTCAATGGTGTCCCCCTCCCAGAGTGCAAAGAACCTTAGCGTGACCCTGGAAAACACCCTGTTGTTCTCTACAAACATCAAAGCAGTGACTTGCTCCTGCAGGTTCATGCTCTGCAACATCCGTAGAGTATGACCCTACCTCACACAGGAAGCAGCGCAGGTTCTAATCCAGGCACTACTGCAACTTGCTGTTGGCTGGGCTCCCTCCTTGTTCCATCAAACCCCTGCAATTTATCCAGAACGCTGCAGCCCGCCTGGTGTTCAACCTTCCCAAGTTCTCCCATGTCACCACCGCTCCTCTGCGCACTCCACTGGCTTCCAGTCTAAGCTCATCCACTACAAGACCATGGTGCTTCTCTACGGAGCAGCAAGAGGAACTGCCCCTCCCTACCATCAGCCTATGCTCAAACCCTACACCCCAACCCGAGTACGTTCTGCCACCTCTGGTCTCTAGGCCCTCCTACTCTTAGGGGAGGGCAGCTCCCGCTCAGCCCAGTCCAAGATGGCACCTTTTATCTAAGACTGTATGAGTCAACAGCACCCTTTTCCCTCCATCTGTTGACAGGTCTAGAAACAGTTAGATACAGTATAGTCTGTTGACAGGTCTAGATACAGTTAGATACAATATAGTCTGTTGACAGGTCTAGATACAGTTAGATACAGGATAGTCTGTTGACAGGTCTAGATACAGTTAGATACAGGATTGCATTGTGCTGTTTTGAAACTTAAAATACCACCTCTGCGAGATCAATGACACAACCTCCTTCGCATACTCAATTGCAGTCGGTTATCTCCTGTCACTAACCCCTACAGATCTGATAGATGCCACTCTGCCTTACCACTGAGCTCCTCTACAGCTAGGGACTGTTCCTCAGACTCAACAGTAAGGGCCTTGCAGTATAGTGGGCTATCCCCGGAGTCTAGTGCCAATGCTTCCTCACCCTTCCACTTATAAACCCGGCGGCTTCGCAGGATCGTCCCGGTCAGAGCTTCAACCTTAGAACACTATGAGAGGCTCCTTCCTGGGTTGGCTTAGCCCAGAATCTCCCCTTCTATGACTCCTACCAGTGCACTCTGTACCTGTAGTTGGGGTCTCAGGTTCCTTTATACCAGCAACTGGGGTTCCACATAGACTAACGAACCAGATACTATAAATCCTCAATGAATCCAGTCGATTACAGATACATAGAGTAAAATGACATGCACTGGTATGACTCTTTGATGACACAGGGTTTCAGAACAATAAAGCAGGACTCTGATGACACAGGGTTGTTGCTGTAAATGAAAATGTGTTCTCAGTCAACTTACCTGGTAAAATATAAAAATACACACAATACTTCATAACGACAAAGTGAAAAAATGTTTTTAGACATTTTTGCACATTCATTGCAAATAAAATACAGAAATATCTCATTTACAAAAGTATTCACACCCCTGAGTCAATACGTGTTAGAATCCCCTTTGTCAGCGATTACAGCTGTGAGTCTTTCTGGGTACGTCTCTAAGAGCTTTACACACCTGGATTGTACAATATTTGCACATTATTATTTTAAAAAATCTTTAAGCTCTGTCAAGTTGGTTGTTGATCATTGCTAGACAACCATTTTCAAGTCTTGCCATTGATTTTCAAGCCGATTTAAGTCAAAACTATAACTAGGCCACTCAGGAAGATTCAATGTTGTCTTGGTAAGCAATTCCAGTGTATATCTGGCCTTTTACATTTTTGTCATTTAGCAGACGCTCTTATCCAGAGTGACTTACAGTTAGTGAGTGCACAAATTTTTTTCATACTGACCCCCCGTGGGAATCGAACCCACAACCCTGGCGTTGCAAGCGCCATGCTCTACCAACTGAGCTACAGGAGGCCCAGTGTTTCAGGTTATTGTCCTGCTGAAAGGTGAATGTGTCTCCCAGTGTCTGTTAGGAGACTCAACCAGGTTTTCCTCTAGGATTTTGCCAGTGATTAGTGCTATTCCTTTTCTTTTTATACTAAAACACTATTATTGCACACAGACTGAGTACATGCAACTTATTATGTGAGTTGTCAAGCACATTTTTACTCCTGAACTTATTTAGGCTTGCCATAACAAAGGGGTTGAATACTTATTGATTCAAGACATTTCATCTTTTCATTTTTATTTAATTTGTAAACATTTCTGAAAACATAATTCCTCTTTAACATTATGGGGTATTGTGTGTAGCCCTGTTACACAAAATCTCAATTTAATCAATTTTAAATTCAGGCTGTAACACAACAAAATGTGGAAAAAGTCAAGGGGTGTGAATACTTTCTGAAGGCATTGTAACTAGTTATGTACATGTACTAGCCATCATATTAACTGCTAGCTAGCCTGCAGCACCTAGCCCGATCTGATTCACATACAGTACATAGTTAATGAGAGACTGGGTTGTCTGGTAGCCAGTAGCAACAGTAACTATGGGGCGGAGTTATGGGAGAGGAGCGAATCAGCTTTCAAGACGTTTGTTTGTGACCCAGATCATCCGCGCGACGGTCAGTAATGCTGCGTTCAAAACAACTGGGAACTCGGAACTGGGAACTCGGAAATACCGAGCTCCGACTGGGAAAAATCTATTTGAACGGTCATCCAACTCGGAATTCCAACTTTCTAGACCTGAAGATCACTGACGTCATGATTTGGTCTCGTATTTTTCCGAGTTCCCAGTTGTTTTGAAGGCGGCATCAGATTCGTTAGGCAGTCGGATCTGGATTGACGCCGGGTCATGGAGGAGAGAGGACGGAGGATGGTCATTTGGTGGTTTCAAAACAACTGGGAACTCCGAAATAACAGAGGTCATGACGTCTTGATATTAACGTCGGAGCTCTAGAAAGATGGCCGAGTTTCCGACTTGAATTCGGAGTTGGATGACCGTTCACAACGAGAGTTTTTGTTGTTGTTCCCAGTTGTCTTGAACGCCCTGAAGTTGGAGATTTCCGAGTTCCCAGTTGTTTTGAACGCCCTGAAGTTGGAGATTTCCGAGTTCCCAGTTGTTTTGAACATGGCATTTTGCCCAAACCAGAAAACCGACAAGTGTCACGCCAACGAGAGATTACAACATCCACAATGGAACTTTCATATCAATCTATCAAAACCGCAAATCAAGCAAGAGAGGCGGTGAGTATTGTTTTGATCTATATATCTTAATATCCCAAGGAATCACTATATATATTTTGCATCATGTTTGTATTAAGTTAGTTAACTTTCTCAAGCTAGCCAGTTAGCTAGCTAGTTGTCGTTCAGTGTCCACTGTTGCCTAGGCAATCTGTCTTGGCGCTGTGTGGTGAATATGGCCCATGGTGCTGGTACAGATAGCTAATCATGTTGCTACCTGGCTCATCACTATATTACATTGATTAACTCTTGTTTCTTACATTAGGACGAAATGAGAACAGAGTCCAGAAGAAGAAATCTACTCATATTAATATTTCATCATTTAATGGAGGCGGGGTAAGTCAGTGTGATATACTGCATATCTGAGTCTGATTATTGTACTGGGATAGGATAAAGTCATCCTTCTACCCCCCCCCCCCCCCCCCCCCCCCCCCCAAAAAATAAATAAACATTGTAAAGTGGTTATCCCACTGGCTATAAGGTGAATGCACCTATTTGTAAGTCGCTCTGGATAAGAGCGTCTGCTAAATGACGTAAATGTAAATGATTACTGTAAAGAATCATCCAGAAGGTTTGACCTGAACATGACTATGTTGTTGACAGGTACAGGGATGCTGCCAGTGCCCTGGAACAGGAGACCAATGTCGTACTGCGGCAGTTTGAAGTGTGTGATAATATAGATCTCGACACAGTGTTGATGGAGTATGAAAGCTACTATTTCATCAAGTTCCAGAGATATCCCAAACTAACCAAGAAACTGCCACAACCAGGTTGGCATGGCGACACAATCTCACTTTACTCATATCATTTAGATTTTTTCCCCAATTTAAAAAAAATATTATAGTGCCATGCATCTTCAAGGATGCCCAGCCCACGTGGGCTTATAAGACACTGTCTTTTCTGTAGCAAAACAAAATAATCAGGTATACATACATACACAAATACAATCATATGAATATGAAAAGCTATTGAAAAAGAACCTGCAATTTCAGATATATAGGTTATCGTGTGGTAACGTGTTGTAACGTATCATATATATAAGTTATCTTGTGGTAACGCGTCGTAACGTATCATATCACTCATTGCTCTGTGTTTTGGGTCATCTCCTGTTCATCTCTTTTCAATCTAGTTGAAAGTAGACATGCAAGAAGTTGTGGAAAAAAGAGGTGAGCCTTTTTTCTCTGTTAAAACAAGCTTCAGAGTATGGTGTTTGGTTTCAGGAACGCCTGAATGTCAGTGTTCTGTTGTAGGTCCTAGCTGTCTGCTGTCTGTGTGTGTCCTTCAGGGCCCCCTGTACTGGAGTTCAGCCCCTTCCCAGAATAAACTCCTCCCACAGACCCTTCTCCAGGGGCGGAGTCAAGAAGATAGAACCCAAGATGGTGGTCAAGGACGCCAGTAAAGCTGTTGGTGTACGTTTTCACACCACTCTGTTTCAAACAATCCAATTAGTTTACTGAATGTGCTTACATTTCACTATATACACAGCAAATGGAACAGGCTGTTTGTGCCAGGTTACATCCCAAATAGCACCCTATTCCCTATATAGAACCCTATGGGACCTGGTCAAACGTACTGCACTATATAGGGAATAGGGTGCCATTTGTTCCTGCTGATCACCATGATTGGCAGGTATTGTTGATGGTTGCAGGAGAACGGTGGGCGCTCATCTCCTCCAGAGCCAACAGAGTTCGGCCTGAATGTTTCCCCCATCATCAGGAACGATGCAGGAGAGGGAGGAGGACAGATGAAGAAGGTAGGGAACACACACACACACACACACACACACACAGTCTTGTACAACTAATCTTGAGGGGACACACAATTCAGTCCCATTCAAAATCCTATTTTCCCTAACCCCTAAACCTAACCCGAAAACCTAACCTTAACCCTAAACCTAACCCTAAAACTAACTCTAGCTCCTAACCCTAACCCTAACCCTAGCTCCTAACCCTAAACCTAATTCTAACCCTAACCCTAACACTAATTCTAACCTTAATCCCCTAAAAAATGCATTTGACCTTGTGGGGACTAACAAAATATCCCCAGTTGGTCAAATGTTTGTTTGTTTGCTATTCTTGTGGGGACTTCTGCACGTCCACAGAGACACACACAGAGACACAGACACACACACACACACACACACACAGAGACACAGAGACACACACACACACACAGAGACACAGAGACACACACACACACAGAGACACAGAGACACATACACACACACAGAGACACAGAGACACATACACACACACACACACACAGAGACACAGACACACACACAGAGACACACACACAGAGACACAGAGACACAGAGACACATACACACACACAGAGACACAGACACACACACAGAGACACAGACACACACACAGAGACACAGACACACACACAGAGACACAGACACACACACAGAGACACAGACACACACACAGAGACACAGACACACACACAGAGACACAGACACACAGTGTCAAAGTGTTTGATGAGTTTTAGCTGCTGGTATTTTGCTATGTTGATAGTCCTGTGGTTGTGTTGCTCCTCTCTCTTAGGGTCAGCTGATTGACTACAGAGGCCTTATCCAGGATGCATCCAACAGTCTGTCAGACCCCATGGTACGGTACCTGACCCGTAACCCTGACCCGTAACCCTGACCCCTAACCCCTAACCCTGCCATCCAGACCCCATGGTACGGTACCCCCCCTAACCCTGACCCCTAACCCTGACCCCTAACCCTGCCATCCAGACCCCATGGTACGGTACCCCCCCCTAACCCTGACCCCTAACCCTGACCCCTAACCCTGACCCCTAACCCTGCCATCCAGACCGCATGGTACGGTACCCCCCCTAACCCTGACCCCTAACCCTACCCCCTAACCCTGCCATCCGACCCCATGGTACGTAACCCCCCCTACCCCCTAACCCTGACCCCTAACCCTGACCCCTAACCCTGACCCCTAACCCTGCCATCCAGACCCCATGGTATGGTACCCTGACCCCTAACCCTGACCCGTAACCCTGCCATCCAGACCCCATGGTACGGTACCCTGACCCCTAACCTGACCCTAACTGAACCCCTAACCCTGGACCCCTAACCCTGACCCTAACCCTGCCATCCAGACCCCATGGTATGGTACCCTGACCCCTAGACCCCTGACCCTAACCCTGACCCTAACCCTGCCATCCAGACCCCATGGTATGGTACCACCCTGACCCCTAACCTGACCCAACCCTGACCCCTAACCCTGACCCCTAACCCTGCCATCCAGACCCCATGGTATGGTACCCCTACCCCCCTAACGACCTACGCCACCGACCCTACCCCTCCCAACCCTGTACCGCCTAACCCTGACCCCTAACCTACCCCTGACCTACCTACCTGACCCCATGGTAACCTGGACCCCCCCGCCTACCCTGACCCCTAACACCCTCATCCAGACCCCTGTAGACCCTGACCCCTAACCCTGACCCCTAACCCTGACCCCTAACCCTGACCCATAACCCTACCATCCAGACCCCATGGTACAGTACCCTGACCCCTAACCCTGACCCCTAACCCTGACCCATAACCCTACCATCCAGACCCCATGGTACAGTACCCTGACCCCTAACCCTGACCCCTGACCCTGACCCCTAACCCTGACCCCTAACCCTGACCCCTAACCCTGACCCTAACCCTCCCTGCCATCCAGACCCCATGGTAACTACACCGTCACCACCCACCTAACCCTGACCCCTAACCCTGATCCCTAACCGATCCACTAACCTGCCATCCAGACCCCATGGTACGGTACGTAACCCTGACCCCTAACCCTGCCTAACCCTGACCCAGACTGCTCGATAACCCCTACCTCCAGACCCATGGTACGTAATCCTGACCCCTGTATACCCTGTAACTGACCTGCCCTGAATGACCTAAGCCTGATAACCTGACTAACTACATCCAGACCATGTAATATCAGTCTGACCATAGCCATGGAAGAGCTATGTCCATGTGTGTAAGAGCTTTCAAACTCATAAATCAAACCACAAAATTATGTTGGCTCAGGTGTCTTCTTCCAGGAGCTTTCTGAAACCTGTAGTTCAGTGGTGACTGAATGAGAGATTGGCTTCGTAATTAGCAGGGTAAGATAGCGTATAGTATGTGTTATTAGCAGATAATGCTGTTATTAGCAGGGTAAGAGTGTTATTAGCAGGGTAAGATGTGTTATTAGCAGGGTAAGATGTGTTATTAGCAGGGTAAGATGTGTTATTAGCAGGGTAAGATGTGTTATTAGCAGGGTAAGATGTGTTATTAGCAGGGTAAGAGCTGTTATTAGCAGGGTAAGAGCTGTTATTAGCAGGGTAAGATGTGTTATTAGCAGGTAGAGTGTATCAGGGTAAGAGTGTTATTAGCAGTAGGGTTTTAGATAAGATGTGTTATTAGCAGGGTAAGATGTGTTATTAGCAGGGTAAGATGTGTTATTAGCAGGGTAAGAGCTGTTATTAGCAGGGTAAGATGTGTTATTAGCAGGGTAAGATGTGTTATTAGCAGGGTAAGGTGTTTATTAGCAGGTAGGTTTAGCAGGTAAGATGTGTTATTAGCAGGGTAAGAGCTGTTATTAGCAGGGTAAGAGTGTTATTAGCAGGGTAAGAGCTGTTATTAGCAGGGTTAAGATGTGTTATTAGCGGTAGGGTTAAGTAGAGTGTGTTATTAGCAGGGGTAAGAGCTGTTATTAGCAGGGTAAGAGGTAGTGTTATTAGCAGGGTAAGAGTGTTATTAGCAGGGTAAGAGCTGTTATTAGCAGGGTAAGAGCTGTTATTAGCAGGGTAAGAGCTGTTATTAGCAGAGGGTAAGAGTGTGTTATTTAGCAGGGGGTAAGATGTGTTATTAGCAGAGGTAAGAATGTGTTATTAGCAGGGTAAGAGTGTATAGCAGGTAAATGTGTTATTAGCAGGGTAAGATGTGTTATTAGCAGGGTAAGAGCTGTTATCTAAAGGTAAACAGGGTAAGAGCTGTTATTAGCGAGGGTAAGTGTGTTTATTAGCAGGGTAAGATGTGTTATTAGCAGGGTAAGATGTGTTATTAGCAGGGGTAAGAAGCTGTTATTAGCAGGGTAGTATATAGACTGTTATTAGCAGGGTAATAGCTGTTATTAGCAGGGTAAGAGCTGTTATTAGCAGGGTAAGATGCTGTTATTAGCGGTAAGAGGTATTACAGGGTAAGCTGTTATTAGCAGGGTAAGATGTGTTATTCGGTAGGTACAGGGTAGTGTATACAGTAGAGTGTTATTAGCAGGGTAAGATGTGTTATTAGCAGGGTAAGAGTGTTATTAGCAGGGTAAGAGCTGTTATTAGCAGGGTAAGATGTGTTATTAGCAGGGTAAGAGCTGTTATTAGCAGGGTAAGATGTGTTATTAGCAGGGTAAGATGTGTTATTAGCAGGGTAAGAGGTTATTAGCAGGGTTATGTTTAGAGGGTAAGATGTGTTATTAGCAGGGTAGAGTGTTATTAGCAGTGGTAAGAGTGTTATTGCAGGAGGTTAAAGGAGTGTTTATTAGCAGGGTAAGATGTGTTATTAGCAGGGTAAGAGTGTTATTAGCAGGGTAAGATGTGTTATTAGCAGGGTAAGAGCTGTTATTAGCAGGGTAAGAGCTGTTATTAGCAGGGTAAGATGTGTTATTAGCAGGGTAAGAGCTGTTATTAGCAGGGTAAGATGTGTTATTAGCAGGGTAAGAGCTGTTATTAGCAGGGTAAGAGTGTTATTAGCAGGGTAAGATGTGTTATTAGCAGGGTAAGATGTGTTATTAGCAGGGTAAGAGCTGTTATTAGCAGGGTAAAGATAGCAGTAAGTGTTATTAGCAGGGTAAGATGTGTTATTAGCAGGTAAGAGTTATTAGCAGGGTAAGAGCTGTTATTAGCAGGGTAAGAGCTGTTATTAGCAGGGTAAGAGCTGTTATTAGCAGGGTAAGAGTGTTATTAGCAGGGTAAGATGTGTTATTAGCAGGGTAAGATGTGTTATTAGCAGGGTAAGAGCTGTTATTAGCAGGGTAAGAGTGTTATTAGCAGGGTAAGAGCTGTTATTAGCAGGGTAAGAGTGTTATTAGCAGGGTAAGAGCTGTTATTAGCAGGGTAAGAGCTGTTATTAGCAGGGTAAGAGCTGTTATTAGCAGGGTAAGAGCTGTTATTAGCAGGTAATAGATGTGTTATTAGCAGGGGTTAAGAGTGTGTTATTAGCAGGGTAAGAGCTGTTATTAGCAGGGTTAAGAGTGTTATTAGCAGGGTAAGAGCTGTTTATTAGCAGGGTAAGAGTGTTATTAGCAGGGTAAGATGTGTTATTAGCAGGGTAAGTGTTATGCGGGTAAGACTGTTATTCAGGTGAAGATGTTATTAGCAGGGTAAGAGTGTTATTAGCAGGGTAAGATGTGTTATTAGCAGGGTAAGAGCTGTTATTAGCAGGGTAAGAGCGTTATTAGCAGGGTAATAGCTGTTATTAGCAGGGTAAGAGTGTTATTAGCAGGTAATGATGTGTTATTTAGCAGGGTAAGAGGTGTTATTAGCAGGGTAAGAGCTGTTATTAGCAGGGTAAGAGCTGTTATTAGCAGGGTAAGATGTGTTATTAGCAGGGTAAGAGCTGTTATTAGCAGGGTAAGAGGGAGCTGTTATTAGCAGGGATAAGAGCTGTTATTAGCAGGGTAAGATGCTGTTATTAGCAGGGTAAGAGCTGTTATTAGCAGGGTAAGAGCTGTTATTAGCAGTGTGTAACAGTAGTGTTATTAGCAGGGTAAGATGTGTATTAAGTAAGCTGTTATTAGCAGGGTAAGAGTGTTATTAGGAAGGGATAGCATGGTTATTAGCAGGGTAAGAGCTGTTATTAGCAGGTAAAGCTGTTATTAGCAGGGTAAGAGCTGTTATTAGCAGGGTAAGATTTTGTGGTTATTAGCAGGGTAAGAGCTGTTATTAGCAGGTAAGATGCTGTTATTAGCAGGGTAAGATGCTGTTATTAGCAGGGTAAGAGTGTTATTAGCAGGGTAAGCAACAGGTGTTATTAGCAGGGTAAGATGTGTTATTAGCAGGTAAGAGTGTTATTAGCAGGTAAGAGCTGTTATTAGCAGGTAAAGCTGTTATTAGCAGGGTAAGAGTGTTATTAGCAGGGTAAGAGTGTTATGCAGGTAGGTAGCAGGTGTTGTAAGATGTGTTTTAGCAGGGTAAGTGTATTGCAGGTGTTATTAGCAGGGTAAGAGTGTTATTAGCAGGGTAGAGTTTACAGGGTAAGAGTGTTATTAGCAGGGTAAATGTGTTATTAGCAGGTAAGATGTGTTATTAGCAGGGTAAGATGTTTGCTATTTATTAGCAGGAGAGTGCTATTAGCAGGGTAAGATGTGTTATTAGCAGGTAAGATGTGTATTAGCAGGGTAAGAGCTGTTATTAGCAGGGTAAGAGCTGTAATTAGTAGGGTCATTATTATTTATTTTGGTAAATCGTTGACGACGTTCTCTTTTAATCTGTAATACTCAGATGAAACACTAGAGAGCACTGAAGAGCTGTCTTTGTTGTGTGAATATAATGCCACCATTGTATCAAATGTGTGTGTGTATATTAATGAAGGTCTAAGCTCCATCCCTCTCCTGTCTCTAAAGGACATCTATTTACACAACCCCGCTGTGCGCTGGGACGATATCATAGGCCTGCAGGCCGCCAAGCGATTAGTCAAAGAGGCTGTCGTCTACCCTGTTAAGGTACAGGCTCTTCCTCTGCTACCGTACCGTTCCATTCTGATCCGGAATATGTCTCCACTAAAAACAGTTATTCCTCAAGGTGACATTAAATCCATACTTGAAAACCACCCAGTCTGGCCTTTAATGTCCTATCACAGCCTAATGATGACACTGAGACACATTATTCTGTATGTTACTTTATCTGACCCTCCCTATGTACGCTGAGGCCCAATCCTGGTACTTTATCTGACCCTCCCTATGTACGCTGAGGCCCAATCCCGGTACTTTATCTGACCCTCCCTATATACGCTGAGGCCCAATCCTGGTACTTTATCTGACCCTCCCTATGTACGCTGAGGCCCAATCCTGGTACTTTATCTGACCCTCCCTATGTACGCTGAGGCCCAATCCTGGTACTTTATCTGACCCTCCCTATGTACGCTGAGGCCCAATCCCAGTACTTTATCTGACCCTCCCTATGTACGCTGAGGGCCCAATCCTGGTACTTTATCTGACCCTCCCCTATGTACGCTGAGGCCCAATCCTGGTACTTTATCTGACCCTCCCTATGTACGCTGAGGCCCAATCCCAGTACTTTATCTGACCCTCCCTATGTACGCTGAGGCCCAATCCTGGTACTTTATCTGACCCTCCCTATGTACGCTGAGGCCCAATCCTGGTACTTTATCTGACCCTCCCTATGTACGCTGAGGCCCAATCCTGGTACTTTATCTGACCCTCCCTATGTACGCTGAGGCCCAATCCTGGTACTTTATCTGACCTTCCCTATTTACGCTGAGGCCCAATCCTGGTACTTTATCTGACCCTCCCTATGTACACTGAGGCCCAATCCTGGTACTTTATCTGACCCTCCCTATGTACGCTGAGGCCCAATCCCGGTACTTTATCTGACCCTCCCTATATACGCTGAGGCCCAATCCTGGTACTTTATCTGACCCTCCCTATGTACGCTGAGGCCCAATCCTGGTACTTTATCTGACCCTCCCTATGTACGCTGAGCCCAATCCTGGTACTTTATCTGACCTCCCTATGTACGCTGAGGCCCAATCCTGGTACTTTATCTGACCCTCCCTATGTACGCTGAGGCCCAATCCTGGTACATTTATCTGACCTCTCCCCTATGTACAGCTGAGGCCCAATCCTGGTACTTTATCTGACCTCCCTATGTACGCTGAGGCCCAATCCCGGTACTTTATCTGACCCTCCCTATGTACGCTGAGGCCCAATCCCGGTACTTTATCTGACCCTCCCTATGTACGCTGAGGCCCAATCCTGGTACTTTATCTGACCCTCCCTATGTACGCTGAGGCCCAATCCTGGTACTTTAAATGCTGCTGTTGCTTACACCTGCTTTTGTGTTTTTTCTTCAACTGAAAGCGTTCTGTTTCACTAGAAGGAACAGAGTTGACTCTTTCTCACTATTTATTCATTGCTACTTTATTTATTTTTGGTCAAAATGTGTAAATGGTAAACTTCTGTCCGTCAATGGCCCATCTTACAGTATGGACCATCCTACAATATGGCCCATCTTACAATATGGCCCGTCTTACAATATGGCCGTCTTACAGTATGGCCCGTCTTACAATATGGCCCGTCTTACAATATGGCCCGTCTTACAATATGGACCATCCTACAATATGGCCCGTCTTACAATATGGCCCGTCTTACAATATGGCCCGTCTTACAATATGGCCCGTCTTACAATATGGCCCATCCTACAATATGGACCATCCTACAATATGGCCCGTCTTACAATATGGCCCGTCTTACAATATGGCCCGTCTTACAATATGGACCATCCTACAATATGGACCATCCTACAATATGGCCCGTCTTACAATATGGCCCGTCTTACAATATGGCCCAGCCTACAATATGGCCCATCCTACAATATGGCCCGTCTTACAATATGGCCCATCCTACAATATGGCCCGTCTTACAATATGGCCCGTCTTACAATATGGACCGTCCTACAATATGGCCCGTCTTACAATATGGCCCGTCTTACAATATGGCCCGTCTTACAATATGGCCCGTCTTACAGTATGGCCCGTCCTACAGTATGGACCGTCCTACAATATGGCCCGTCTTACAATATGGCCCGTCTTACAATATGGACCATCCTACAATATGGACCATCCTACAATATGGCCCATCTTACAATATGGCCCGTCTTACAATATGGCCCGTCTTACAATATGGCCCGTCTTACAATATGGACCATCCTACAATATGGACCATCCTACAATCTGGCCCGTCTTACAATATGGCCCATCCTACAATATGGCCCATCCTACAATATGGCCCGTCTTACAATATGGCCCATCCTACAATATGGCCCGTCTTACAATATGGCCCGTCTTACAATATGGCCCATCCTACAATATGGCCCGTCTTACAATATGGACCATCCTACAATATGGCCCGTCTTACAATATGGACCATCCTACAATATGGCCCGTCTTACAATATGGACCATCCTACAATATGGACCATCCTACAATATGGCCCGTCTTACAATATGGCCCATCTTACAATATGGCCCATCTTACAATATGGCCCGTCTTACAATATGGCCCATCCTACAATATGGCCCGTCTTACAATATGGACCATCCTACAATATGGCCCGTCTTACAATATGGACCATCCTACAATATGGCCCGTCTTACAATATGGACCATCCTACAATATGGGACCATCCTACAATATGGCCCGTCTTACAATATGGCCCATCTTACAATATGGCCCATCTTACAATATGGCCCGTCGTTGTATTGTGACAGTGATAAGGTTGTATTGTGACAGTGATGTTTATAGATATGGGTGTATTGTGACAGTGGTGTTTATAGATATGGTTGTATTGTGACAGTGATGTTTATAGATATGGTTGTGTTGTGACAGTGATGTTTATAGATATGGTTGTATTGTGACAGTGATGTTTATAGATATGGTTGTATTGTGACAGTGGATGTTTATTAGATATGGTTTGTATTGTGACAGTGATGTTTATAGATATGGTTGTATTGTGACAGTGATGTTTATAGATATGGTTGTATTGTGACAGTGATGTTTATAGATATGGGTTGTATTGTGACCGTGATGTTTATAGATATGGTTTGTGTTGTGACAGTGATGTTTTATAGATATGGTTGTATTGTGACAGTGATGTTTATAGATATGGTTGTATTGTGACAGTGATGTTTATAGATATGGTTGTATTGTGGACAGTGATGTTTATAGATCTGGTTTGTATTGTGACAGTGATGTTTATAGATATGGTTTGTATTGTGACAGTGATGTTTATAGATATGGTTGTATTGTGACAGTGATGTTTATAGATATGGTTGTGTTGTGACAGTGATGTTTCTAGATATGGTTGTATTGTGACAGTGATGTTTATAGATATGGTTGTATTGTGACAGTGATGTTTATAGATATGGTTGTATTGTGAAGTGATGTTTTATAGATATGGTTGTATTGTGACAGTGATGTTTATAGGATATGGTTGGTATTGTGACAGTGATGTTTTATAGATAAGGTTGTATGTGACAGTGATAAGGTTGTATTGTACATGATATGGTTGTGTTGTGACAGTGATGTTTATAGATATGGTTTGTGTTGTGACAGTGGTGTTTATAGATATGGTTGTATTGTGACAGTGATGTTATAGATATGGTTGTATTTGTGACCAGTGATGTTTATAGATAGGGTTGTATTGTGACAGTAGGTTGTATGTGACAGTGATGTTTATAGATATGGTTGTATTGTGACAGTGATGTTTATAGATATGGTTGTATTGTGACAGTGATGTTTATAGATATGGTTGTATTGTGACAGTGATGTTTATAGATATGGTTGTGTTGTGACAGTGATGTTTATAGATATGGTTGTATTGTGACAGTGATGTTTATAGATATGGTTGTATTGTGACAGTGATGTTTATAGATATGGTTGTATTGTGACAGTGATGTTTATAGATATGGTTGTATTGTGACAGTGATGTTTATAGATAAGGTTGTATTGTGACAGTGATAAGGTTGTATTGTGGCAGTGATAAGGTTGTATTGTGACAGTGATAAGGTTGTATTGTGACAGTGATGTTTATAGATATGGTTGTATTGTGACAGTGATGTTTATAGATATGGTTGTATTGTGACAGTGATGTTTATAGATATGGTTGTGTTGTGACAGTGATGTTTATACATTAGATATGGTTGTATTGTGACAGTGATGTTTATATATATGGTTGTATTGTGACAGTGATGTTTATAGATAAGGTTGTATTGTGACAGTGATAAGGTTGTATTGTGACAGTGATAAGGTTGTATTGTGACAGTGATGTTTATAGATATGGTTGTGTTGTGACAGTGATGTTTATAGATATGGTTGTATTGTGACAGTGATGTTTATAGATATGGTTGTATTGTGACAGTGATGTTTATAGATATGGTTGTGTTGTGACAGTGATGTTTATACAGTAGATATGGTTGTGTTGTGACAGTGATGTTTATACATTAGATATGGTTGTATTGTGACAGTGATGTTTATAGATATGGTTGTATTGTGACAGTGATGTTTATAGATAAGGTTGTATTGTGACAGTGATAAGGTTGTATTGTGACAGTGATAAGGTTGTATTGTGACAGTGGTGTTTATAGATATGGTTGTATTGTGACAGTGATGTTTATAGATATGGTTGTGTTGTGACAGTGATGTTTATAGATATGGTTGTGTTTGTGACAGTGGATGTTTATAGATATGGTTGTATTGTGACAGTGATGTTTATAGATATGGTTGTATTGTGACAGTGATGTTTATAGATAAGGTTGTATTGTGACAGTGATAAGGTTGTATTGTGACAGTGATAAGGTTGTATTGTGACAGTGATGTTTATAGATATGGTTGTATTGTGACAGTGATGTTTATAGATATGGTTGTATTGTGACAGTGATGTTTATAGATATGGTTGTGTTGTGACAGTGATGTTTATAGATATGGTTGTGTTGTGACATTGATGTTTATAGATATGGTTGTGTTGTGACATTGATGTTTATAGATATGGTTGTATTGTGACAGTGATGTTTATAGATATGGTTGTATTATGACAGTGGTGTTTATAGATATGGTTGTATTGTGACAGTGATGTTTATAGATATGGTTGTGTTGTGACAGTGATGTTTATAGATATGGTTGTATTGTGACAGTGATGTTTATAGATATGGTTGTATTGTGACAGTGGTGTTTATAGATATGGTTGTATTGTGACAGTGATGTTTATAGATATGGTTGTGTTGTGACAGTGATGTTTATAGATATGGTTGTATTGTGACAGTGGTGTTTATAGATATGGTTGTATTGTGACAGTGATGTTTATAGATATGGTTGTGTTGTGACAGTGATGTTTATAGATATGGTTGTATTGTGACAGTGATGTTTATAGATATGGTTGTGTTGTGACAGTGATGTTTATACATTAGATATGGTTGTATTGTGACAGTGATTTTTATATATATGGTTGTATTGTGACAGTGATGTTTATAGATAAGGTTGTATTGTGACAGTGATAAGGTTGTATTGTGACAGTGATAAGGTTGTATTGTGACAGTGATGTTTATAGATATGGTTGTATTGTGACAGTGATAAGGTTGTATTGTGACAGTGATAAGGTTGTATTGTGACAGTGGTGTTTATAGATATGGTTGTATTGTGACAGTGATGTTTATAGATATGGTTGTGTTGTGACAGTGATGTTTATAGATATGGTTGTATTGTGACAGTGATGTTTATAGATATGGTTGTGTTGTGACAGTGATGTTTATAGATATGGTTGTATTGTGACAGTGATGTTTATACCGTAGATAAGGTTGTATTGTGACAGTGATAAGGTTGTATTGTGACAGTGATAAGGTTGTATTGTGACAGTGATGTTTATAGATATGGTTGTATTGTGACAGTGATGTTTATAGATATGGTTGTATTGTGACAGTGATGTTTATAGATATGGTTGTATTGTGACAGTGGTGTTTATAGATATGGTTGTATTGTGACAGTGATGTTTATAGATATGGTTGTATTGTGACAGTGATGTTTATAGATATGGTTGTGTTGTGACATTGATGTTTATAGATATGGTTGTGTTGTGACAGTGATGTTTATAGATATGGTTGTGTTGTGAGAGTGATGTTTATAGATATGGTTGTATTGTGACAGTGATGTTTATAGATATGGTTGTATTGTGACAGTGATGTTTATAGATATGGTTGTGTTGTGACAGTGATAAGGTTGTATTGTGACAGTGATGTTTATACATTAGATATGGTTGTGTTGTGACAGTGATGTTTATAGATATGGTTGTATTGTGACAGTGATGTTTATAGATATGGTTGTATTGTGACAGTGGTGTTTATAGATATGGTTGTATTGTGACAGTGATGTTTATAGATATGGTTGTATTGTGACAGTGATGTTTATAGATATGGTTGTATTGTGACAGTGATGTTTATAGATATGGTTGTATTGTGACAGTGATGTTTATAGATATGGTTGTATTGTGACAGTGATGTTTATAGATATGGTTGTATTGTGACAGTGGTGTTTATAGATATGGTTGTATTGTGACAGTGATGTTTATAGATATGGTTGTATTGTGACAGTGATGTTTATAGATATGGTTGTGTTTTGACAGTGATGTTTATAGATATGGTTGTGTTGTGACATTGATGTTTATAGATATGGTTGTGTTTTGACAGTGATGTTTATAGATATGGTTGTGTTGTGACATTGATGTTTATAGATATGGTTGTGTTGTGACAGTGATGTTTATAGATATCGTTGTATTGTGACAGTGATGTTTATAGATATGGTTGTATTGTGACAGTGGTGTTTATAGATATGGTTGTGTTGTGACAGTGATGTTTATAGATATGGTTGTATTGTGACAGTGATGTTTATAGATATGGTTGTATTGTGACAGTGATGTTTATAGATATGGTTGTGTTGTGACAGTGATGTTTATAGATATGGTTGTGTTGTGACAGTGATGTTTATAGATATGGTTGTATTGTGACAGTGATGTTTATAGATATGGTTGTGTTGTGAGAGTGATGTTTATACAGTAGTTATGGTTGTATTGTGACAGTGATGTTTATAGATAAGGTTGTATTGTGACAGTGATAAGGTTGTATTGTGACAGTGATAAGGTTGTATTGTGACAGTGATGTTTATAGATATGGTTGTATTGTGACAGTGATGTTTATAGATAAGGTTGTATTGTGACAGTGATAAGGTTGTATTGTGACAGTGATAAGGTTGTATTGTGACAGTGATAAGGTTGTATAACATTCCTTCATGCTGTCCTTAGTATCCACAGCTATTCACTGGCATCCTGTCTCCATGGAAAGGTCTGCTTTTATACGGGCCACCAGGTAACACACACCTACACCTACACACACCTACACACACACCTACACCTACACACACACCTACACCTACACACCTGCACACACACCTACACACACCTACACCTACACACCACCTACACACACCTACACACACACCTAACCTACACACACCTACACCTACACACACACCTACACCTAACCACACACCAACACCTACACACTACACACATACACTACACACCTACCACACCTACACACACACCACCTACACCTACACACACCTACACACACACCCTACACCTACACACACACACACACCTACAACACACACCTACACTACACACACCTACACCTACACACACACCAACACCTACACACATCTACACACACACACCTACACACCTACACACACCTACACACACCTACACCTACACACACACACCTACACACACACACACCTACACCTACACACACACCTACACACACACACACACACACCTACACACACACACACACACACACACACACACACACACACACACACACACACACACACAAACACCTACACCTACACACACATCCAACCCCTACACACACACCTACACCTACACACACATATACACACAAAAACACCTACTCACGCACACAAACACTCCTAACCTCTCCTCTCAGGTACAGGTAAGACACACACTAACAGTCCTAACAGTCCTAACAGTCCTAACAGTCCTACCCTCTCCCTCTCAGGTACAGGTAAGACCCTGCTGGCCAAGGCTGTAGCCACAGAGTGTAACACCACCTTCTTCAATATCTCAGCCTCCAGCATCGTCAGCAAGTGGAGAGGAGACTCTGAGAAGCTGGTTAGGGTACGGCATTCTGCTCTTACTCTATTGACTATAGCTGCATGACAACACTAAACCGTATTATATCCAACCTCAACACATATCTAACCTGGAGAGGAGACGGAGCTGGTCAGGGTATGTGGCTGGAGAGGAGACGGAGCTGGTCAGGGTATGTGGCTGGAGAGGAGACTGAGCTGGTCAGGGTATGTGGCTGGAGAGGAGACGGAGCTGGTCAGGGTATGTGGCTGGAGAGGAGACGGAGCTGGTCAGGGTATGTGGCTGGAGAGGATTCTGAGCTGGTCAGGGTATGTGGCTGGAGAGGAGACTGAGCTGGTCAGGGTATGTGGCTGGAGAGGAGACGGAGCTGGTCAGGGTATGTGGCTGGAGAGGAGACTGAGCTGGTCAGGGTATGTGGCTGGAGAGGAGACGGAGCTGGTCAGGGTATGTGGCTGGAGAGGAGACTGAGCTGGTCAGGGTATGTGGCTGGAGAGGAGACGGAGCTGGGTCAGGGTATGTGGCTGGAGAGGAGACTGAGCTGGTCAGGGTATGTGGCTGGAGAGGAGACTGAGCTGGTCAGGGTATGTGGCTGGAGAGGAGACTGAGCTGGTCAGGGTTATGTGGCTGGAGAGGAGACTGAGCTGGTCCAGGGTATGTGGCTGGAGAGGAGACTGAAGCTGGTCAGGGTATGTGGCTGGAGAGGAGACGGAGCTGGTCAGGGTATGTGGCTGGAGAGGAGACTGAGCTGGTCAGGGTATGTGGCTGGAGAGGAGACGGAAGCTGGTCAGGGTATGTGGCTGGAGAGGAGACGGAGCTGGTCAGGGTATGTGGCTGGAGAGGAGACGGAGCTGGTCAGGGTATGTGGCTGGAGAGGAGACTGAGCTGGTCAGGGTATGTGGCTGGAGAGGAGACTGAGCTGGTCAGGGTATGTGGCTGTCTGAGCTGGTCAGGGTATGTGGCTGGAGAGAGACTGAGTTAGGTTCAGTCATT